CCCCCCCCCCTCCCCTAGTGTTTACCCTGCCTTCTCCATTAAAACATATTTGATTCGACGCTAGAGTAGGCGCTATAACTTGCCCACTGAAATCTCAGTCTTCTATAACTCGCTGCGAGGTAGGCTTCCTGACGGTTACGCAACGTTCCGAACACTTGCAATTAAAATTTGCGAGCCAACTTCGTTAGACTATTTTGCTGGCACGTACGCGCACGCGCACGCGTTGCAGATGTTTCCTTTGAGCGAAAACGATACCGGACATTGCAATACAGAGCCGGCCCACGTTACACAGCGAAGTTATCTGCAGCGTGACCACAAGCGCTATCAAAAGCCTTCAGCAGGTACATCTACGGGCTATATGAAATTTGTCCGTCGGAGAAGCATCAGCATGTGCTGCCCACGTCTGCGCTAAATAGCGACTCACGACCATAATGACCTTGAACGCTCAAACTTCGGCTCAGGAACCCCTCTCCTTGCCCATCTCTTGAGTTTCCTATAATTTCCCCAATTTATGTATCTCCCTTTGACACCGTAGAAAATGCTGTAGACACCGTTGTCCAACCATCTGCGCACTTGACAGAGAATATGGAGGAAAGTTCAAGTAGTCCGGTAGCCAGCAAAACAAGCGATTCCTAATCGGCGCGCCAATTTTAACCGCAAGCGAGCGCGATGACGCGCGGTGGCCTTTTGCTACACCACATGCATATCTGTATGAAGCAAGCTATTATGGACTTAAATCGCAGTACTAGAAATATCAAAACCATATTACCGAAATTAGGGAAATTGAAAAGTCAATAAAGCATCATAACGTGATCACCTTCACACGGTTGTCGGCTTCCACGGACGAGTTCTTACTTCGAGAAATCACAAAAGACAGATGGTCAAGGGTAAGCGATAAGGCATCATGAGCCGTAGATTGCTGAAAACTATTAGAGTACCTCTGGGAAATCATATGTAAAACTCTCCTGCTCTCATTTTTCGTCACAACTTTACGCTTCTTCCGTACCTGATGTGGACTGTATATACTTAGCGAAAACGCGCTCAGTGTCGCTGATACATCTATACCGCCAACATAGGTATCTTCCACTGTCCGCCTTGTGGATGCCATCAACGATAGACACGGCAGTTTCAAAAGGCAGTCCGCAGCCGAGCTCCTCTGGAAAACATAACTTGTAGAGTCGACCTCATTCACTTTTGTAAACGAGCACTCACCTGCTGTTGGCCATCAAATCGAATGGTACTGCTCTGAACCGTGAGGAAGAACAAGACATCAATCGGTAGCGCACTAGTATCCATTCCAACAATATGGGCTACACCTTCTTGTTGCTCTGCTACTGAGGGCACTGAAGTAACCGTGGCGCCTGATGAGATAGGAAGGGGTTCCAGTACCTTAATTTTCTCGTTGAGCAGTAGGAGTAAATTCAGGACGAAGCCCTATACAGGCGCAAGGACTGGAATCGTGGCCGTAGTGCAAAACAACACAGCGGATGTGGTCATATAGCAACAAATTTCCAGCGCATGTTAACCGAAAGTATATGAGGGAATGCATAATTTACCTTTGTACCACCTTCTGTAACAATATTACAATTCGGCTTCAATGTTTACCTACCTGCTCCAAATAGTCAGCTAGATGAGGTGTGACAACCGTCTCCGTCGGCATTGATGCCAATGCCGCTGACAAGTAGAAGCATCCCCGATTCCGAATTATTGCACTGTTCTGAAAAAGGATACAAGTACGAGAAAGAGAGCTGTAAGCAGGTGTGCAGCAAGGATGAGGTGAGACTGAGATGAAATTGAATCAGGTTCAAGTTGAAGGCAAGGCCCGGGATTTCTGGTCCAAATTAAGCTTTTCCCCGAGAAAACGTATGCAAGGTACGCAAGCCTAAAGCATGTGCAAAGCCTTCGGGATATTCGACAAGGTGAGGCGTTAAAGCCTAGAATGCAGCATTGACCCCACCCACATCATTGGGCCCGCCCACAAATCAGTGCTATTTCGCTTCGCTGCTACTGAAGATAAGGTTTCATTTACGCTCATTGTCAACGGTTTTTATCATTTTTCCAATGCTGGCGTTACACTTCAGATCTCCATTACCACTTACAAGCGCAATATAACACATCAGTTCGACACCGGACTTTGCCTACATCATTTACATCATGACTAAGAAAATTTGCTGATGTTAAAACGAGGAAAAAAAAACAAGAAAAAAAACCAACAGGGAGATTAGGACTGTGATGTTGAACGGATTCCGACAATGATGGATGTGATTGGGCCGCTCCTTTGGAGAAGGAAGTCGCCACTGATGCTGGTAGAGAACCAGAATCCGCTGATATGTAGTAGCCTTTCATGTCCAAGCTGAAATGCTCACAAATTGTCTTTGGTAACATTCCTCAATCCTGAACAGCACCAGGTAACCGAAGATCACGAACTAGTTACTCATCTTGATGATGGATCTAGCATTTTTCAATAATTGTGAGTCAGCTTGATATACTTTCTATTAAAAAGGAAGTTTGGAAACAACCCACAGTCTGACTTTAATGCTTACTTTTTAGTTTTGACTTATTCAAAGATCATTAACATCAAATTGTCTTGAAACAGTAAACATTTGTCACCTAATCTGTCAAGGATCTCCGAATGGATAGATAATAAAAATCATTCAATAGCAAAACTAGGCTAGTTCCAAAAGCTTCCTTGCAGAGATAGGCCCCTTCGTAGAAAATCCTAATGTATCGCATTCCTTTGTTTTTTTTTATTCACCCCAATTCCCTAAGTGGAATCTATTCATAAAAAAGCACTTCTGTAAATCGACAAGGCAACGGCATGGAGACCCAGTAGCTCAACTAGTAGCTGCACGCGGTACTGCTTCAACATTTGCTGCCATTCTAAATTCCCATCACACTTCTGCGCACTGTCCATTTTCATTAACCCTTGTGTTAAGAGCCAGGCTGCTGTGAACTCAGAGAACTTTCACTCTGTAGAACCCGAACGAGAAAAAGTACGCAGCGAACGCATGGGCAATGCGCTTGTGAAGCGACCAACCTTGGAATACTGAATCTTGTGAAATTCGTTGGCTGGGCAGAGGCAAAAGCCTTCGCACGTAGATCTTTCGTTGACGGCTTTTTAACCATTGCCGGCATCATAATCAAGGACGCCTCCTGTTTCAATGCTGTTCGCAACGTACACCGTCCTGATTCGATGCTCACCTAGAAAATAGCACATAGACGGCACATCTTTCAGAGCAACTGTTGAGCCGAGATATTATTTACGACGTATTCCGTTGAAAGCAAAGCGAGTGTGACAGACTATGTAGGCAAAGCGCACGTGGCTAGCGCCACCTCCACCTTCAACGAAGACGCATGTAAGGGTCTCTAAGGGTAAGACATCGACTGTGGACTACTATCAGATATCCGTCCCGCAGCCCCTCCCCCCTCATGCCGTTGGTAAGTCCTGTTTCCTAATGGAGCTTTGACATAAAGCATAGTAATCTCGCAGTGACTGAACGTTTACTGAAGTTCATCTCGAAAACCAGTTGCGTTTCAGAGGGGATCAGATCTGCAAAAATCTGCAGCTTGGGCAGCTTACTTTGCAAGGCCCAAGCGCTCTTGTCGGTTGGTTTCCGTGCACGGGAACGCCACATTTGTGATTGTCCTCTAGGGGTCTATACTACAGACCGAAGAGAAGCGTTCACACGACCTCTGCCTGGGTTGTGCCTTTAAGTTTGAGAGGTTTCTAGAGCCTGGTGTTAAGATGCTGTTCAAAAAAGGCGACTTCCCAGAGGCGGGGCTCTCACCTGGACATCGATATTCATTTGGACACTTTCTGTTTGGTTTTTCTCTTCAGTATCCGATGCACGTAGATCCACAGCGGTTTTCGCTGGTCTCAGATTGTCGTTTGAGAACGTCTAAAAGATCATGATTGACTTCGCAAATAAATATTTTGCACCTATACGCATCATGACAAAACCAGATCACAGAGTCCTGAACCAGAACTCTCATTTGTGCTCAAATAGCTCTGTAAGCGAGAATCAAGCGTCATCACGTACATACCCTAGGCCTTCTTTCTCCTTTATTTCCGGTGTCCTTTCGTCGTCGGATCTTTTCAATCATACTACGACGAAATTCCTTGAATCGCATCAGCTCGTACTGCCGAAGTTTACCTCGTTCAGCTTCGATGCGCTTCTCGGACGCCTTACAACCGATCAAATCCGATACTAATGTTGACTGCTCGTGCATCTGAATACAGTGTAATTTGCTTCCACCATTTCTACACATTTACCTGATCCATCGTTTTTCGGTTCAGGCGAGGATCCAAAATTCCAAAAATCCGCAGAAACGTAAACCAGAAGAGCAATCCTTACCTTCCTCTCCATCCATGGCACTCTCTCCTCTGGCCGTAGATTTTTCAGCTCACCTGCACCTTCGATCTAAAGTGAGCCGGTTGTCAAAAAAGCTATTCTTGCGAGTTGCGTATGCCAGAAGGTACATCGAACTTTGGTGAGCTCTCTTATTTATGGGGGAAAAGCAACATTAGCATTAACCTTAGGATCATCGTCCGAAACATTCGACCGCCTATCATCCATGTCGTCCTCATTTTCTCCAAGAGATGAGAACGTATTCACAACCATTTTCGCGAATTTTCCTTAAAAACTGATGTTTTACCCATATCAAAACAAAGTAGACCACTTGCGAATACCACGAGCCATATGAGCCTGTATAGGACTCCATAGCTTACCTATCCTTTGATCTAAGTCGATGACCATTCCTCGCATCTGCGATCGGACGCTTAGTACCCATTTAGCGCCAGACGAATCAGAAGACGCCTGAACTCCAAACAACATTCTCTACTCAGGTTATCAAGGCTTACTTTGCGATGCTGCATAAGATCGGACTACTTCTTAAGAAAAAAAAACTCACACACTACCTCGCCCTACTGGGTATTCCATTTTTGTGAGCTCTATTCCTATTCTTAAACAATTCCATTTTCCATCAAAACTTTCACTTGACTGTCACACTGTGAATTGACACTTTAGAGCATATCCTCTTTTCGAACTGGCAGCTCTTTAACCCTAGCTGGTCTCAAGGTTCCTACTGCACTTGTTCAATGCAAGTTGGCTAAGCTCTAAAACGGTCAACTTCAACGATTCGGAAGTTTCCCTAGGGAATGGGCAGTTGGAGGAAGGTAGGGGGGGGTGCGTAATCGCGATTCGTGGAATCTAAGTCTACCTCACCCTTTTCTCCAATTTCCAAAGGAATTTGAAACTCAACTTCCACTTCACATACCTGTGAGCACAGCTGATAGGTCCCTTGAGGAAAGAATAAGTAGTTTGTTTGAGTGTTTCCGGTTGCTTCCTTAACGCTCTCCGAAAGTGACTGGAATTCAAAATATTCTTTTGCATAACACAGGTGAATGGCTTACTGTAAACATACAAGCTCATCAAAATTGTCGATGAAATTCAATTTGAATCCATGGAACGATGCTTGGCAAGCCAATTCCTTCATGATACAGACGGTCACGTCGCTCTTCTATAACAGAGTATAAAAGCATTGCAAAATTCCTGAGCACGATTTGCGAAATAAAACAACAGCTGCAAAATCTCTTGAATCTGCTGCATAAAATTAGGGACTGAAGCTTCCTCGAACAGCATTAAATTTGATTTTCATGATTTCAACGCGATACAATAACATTTTTAAAAATTAGAAAAATTACTTTGTAAGAGGGTGCAAGTTGGGTTGCATTATGAAAAGTAATGTTCTTAAGTACGAGTTCCCTTTCGCAAAGAGCCTCA